AATTGATTATTCAGATTCTGGGTCTTAAGTGGCCTCAGTATTAACTTAAAGCATACTTAAGTCATATTCATACATACTATAATGGTTTATATTTGAAATATTTCATTCAATAAATGGGTAAGAAAAAAAAATGTCTTTTTAATTGAGTATTCGTTACTATTAGTAATGACAAAAACATTTAAACGTAGTTTATTATTTATAAGTATGAAATATCCAGTCACAGTYCTATCATTGAAGAAGTGTTCATGTTTTTAGTATTTCAGCTCGCAAGTTGTTGGATGACTAGATTTCATGACACGATAAGTAAATAYAACTTTCTCTTGTACTTCYCATTGTATTTATTTTCCCATCCATTTTCAGGTGGCATGCAGTTTACATTTACTGTTGTACATAAGATTGGATTATTGCATTTATTATTGAACTCAGTATTGTTGTATCCTTTTTAGACTTCATTTAATTTAATTATTAAAATGATACATGTGTAATATTTATTGTTTGAATATTCAATATTTGGTAAGTGACAATCGTTCAGCACAGGCTACAGGCATCATAGAATTAATAATTTTTCTACAAAAAATAATTATGAACAAACTAAAGATTAATTTTAAAATTAGAGTTCGTTTTCATAATAACATAATTTTATATCAAGTAATACTTTTTTTTTTAATTTAAAATTATCATGTCTTTAATATTTTTGTTCTCTTAAAATAATATCTTAATTTATTATCCACGTGTGCCAGTGTGGCATTGTCACAAGTTAAATGATGATTTCTAAAAGTGTAAAATATTATTGAATGCGTTAATATTTATAGTTTATTTTAAAATTAAACTGTGTATTTTTCAGGCGCAAGTGATCCGGGTTTTTCTATTTCGACTAGTTATGCTGTACACAGACACACAAAAAAAAACTCATCATTGTGAAATCAATACATTCATCACTTCGTTCAGAATCTAAAACACACATCATTGTAAAATCAATACATTCATCACTTCGTTCAGAATCTAATAGTAAAATATAGTTTAGGTATCCTATATTTTTTTTCAATTATATATACATACATTTTCTACAGTTTTTTTTCCGATTGGACCAGGAATATTTGTTAAAATATGATTTTCTAAACCTATTCATACTTTAAATAGCTCAATATGCGATTCTTCCAAGTTTATAAGATTAATGAATACCTCAGATAAGTGTAATCATATTAATTGTATGAATACTATAAACATCATTTTACTGCATGTAATATCTTATAAAGGTATCATAACACTGGTAGTTTACTGGAATAAACAACTTTGCTTTATTAGGTATTAATTAAATATACAAGATACAAGAATCTGGAACTCGCACATGGTTGTCTACAGCTCTTGTTACAACATTATATATTATACATTATAATTATTAGGTTATGTTATCATATGACGTTATCACA